CTGCTAATGGACACACAAATTGTTGCTACCTCTTGGCTATCATGAATCTGAATCCTGCTGTTATAAACATTTATATGTGTATAAATTTTTGTGAGGACATGCATTTCATTTCTGTTGCACTGGGTCACACAGTAATTCTATGCTTAACTTTCTGAGGAGCTGCCAGTCTATTTTCCAAAATAACTGGGAGTCTTTTCTTATTGGACCTAGGGACACAGAAGTCTGTGGGACTTTCCATACGAAAGCAAAGGGGTCATATGTAGTTTTTAACAAACTCAATTAGCTGAGTTCTTTATAAATTATTATTCCTAAACTAAATTTATAAGGTAACAAATAGTATAGGAGGCCTGTGGGTAATCTGGATTACTGAACTCTTTTCCTTGAAAGCCAATCTTCAGGGCTGAAGGAAAAGTCCCTTTTACTCTGAGGGATCCCTGAACCCTGCAAGCAGTATCTGAGGTTCAGCGTCAGGACTGAGGACAGGGCTGGCTGTCTCCCAAGAAGACCCTGGGAAGAAAGGCCTCTGACTTCCCATCAGTCCTCCAAGGACTAATGCAGGACACTTAGTAAATGGGGACAAAATGGTGGAGAAAATTCCGTCTTTCTTTGCAGGAGCCATAGTAATCCTTATAAATCCCAAGTACATCTTTAACATACTTCAGCAAAGCCTTTACTTTGCATTTCTTCTGCTCCTAGGAGAATTGCTTACCCTAAATTCTATTTCACCTTTATAAATTCTTTTGGGTTAATTTCAGTTAGAGACGGTTCCTTCCTGTGTGATCTTTGCTGACTCATCTTCTGTTCTTTTTTTATGCCTACTCTAAGGTCTTTCTTACTCTGAGTCTGAGCCACATTAAATCCTTTCCAGAACAAGCTGAGGTATAAACAAAGATTGTCCCTCTATTCTCAAAAAATTGTTCATAGCCCTTAGCCAGAAAGAAGGATTATCAAGACATCTAAATGTCAAAGTTAGCTCTAGTAATCAATATTGGCATCTCATTTTTGTTATTCACCTTAAGGAATAATTAAGATGGAGGATGACCAAAATGTAATTATATCTTTTTAGCACAACTTATAAAAAATAAATTTAGGAAAGAAAATTAATTATAATTAAATATATGCTTCTTGTATCCTAAAAATCTTATGAGAGTTAATAAAGTAACAATTATGCCTCAGATTATAAAAAACTTTATTTTGCCATAGTCTTATATTCATTATTCCACATGAACTTCAAATATCCTTGGTGAGGTGGCATGTGCACATTATTATAATTTTTTGGATAATAAAAAGAGACAGAGGGTATTTGACTTGTCCTTTATCATCTAGCTAGTTAGCAGTGAGAACAGAACTTGAACTTGGTGCCTTTGCTGAGGCTAAGGTACCCTGTGCCAAGCACGGCCATGCTGGCTGCTTGACAATGGTTTGAATCACCCACTTTGTATTGGCCATTCTGATGCCAACACCTGCCTGGGCCACACAAGTGCATCAGAATTTAACCCACACACTGTCTCTAAGACCCCCAAGACCAAGCTGCTTTTATCTTCTCTCTTGGAACTCAGTGAGTTCTTTTTTAAAATTTTTTGAAAGTTTATCTATATATTATCATTTTGTAAGAACACACTGTATTCTGAGGTTTTTTTTTTTTTTTTTCTTCAGAGGTTGTTCAAAAATCTAACTAGAATTTATGGCTGAAAGTTACTGGGTTACTGCATTCTTTCAAAGCAATTTCCAATTAACTTTACACACTAAGGATGAAATGTTTTCAAGTATTCCTCATCCTCTCTTCTTCTCCTTCCCACAATGGTACTTCATACAATTCACATAAAAATGGAATTAAATAGATAGGTTCATTTTGGTGCAAATTTTTTAAAAAAATCCACACATAGCTGTTTCAAAATATGTATTTTTCTGTGAAGTTTTTGAAGACACCTCATGTTTGTTGTTTTCCAAGATTCCATTCATAGACTTTTCTTCTCTTCGTCTATTAACTCTTTAAACAACCTCAACCACTCTTGAGCTCCAACTTTTGCCCGCTCACCTATAATTCCAGTCTCCCTCTCTAGCCCTCCTGTATGTCCTGACGGCCAGTCCTGTATATCCAACTTGCTACGCGGCATTTCCACCTGGATAATCAAAAGGCACCCTAAACCCTTTAGATTCCTAAAGGGCTGGACCACATGCTATGGCTTGAATGTGTCCCTCATCCAAACTTCATGTGTTGGAAACAATCCAAACTCAGGAGCTCACGGTATCTGGAGGCTGGGCCCTTAGGAGGTGATCACGATTAGATGAGGTCACATCTGGTTTCTCCCTATGTGATGTCCTCTATGATTTCAGGATGCACCAAGGCCTCACCGGATGCCAAGCAGATGCCAGGACCATGCTCCTGGACTTCTTTGCCCATAAAACTGTGAGCTGCCTATACTTTTCTTTATTATAAATCACCAAATTCTCCTAAACATTCTGTTTCAGCAAATATCATCACCTTGTGTCAGCCAGCCAAGCTACACATTACCCTCGGCTCCTCTCTCTTCACTTCCCACAGTATGATTAATCCCATTGTTTTTGCCTGTGAATGCTGCTCATTGTTGTTCTTGCTCCTTTATCCCCCTACATCTGCTTTCAGACTCAACTCTGGGTAGGTCTGTAGTAATGACTCTCTGACCAGTCTCCCAGCCCCCAGCCTTCTCTCCCTTTGTTTCTTTTCTACACACTGGTACCATGGATCCCCTTCTAAAAATGAGCATGATTAAGTTATTTCCCTGTGCCCAAATGTCAATAGTTCAGTATTAGGTTTCTTAGAATTCTACACGATTCTTCAAAATCTGGCCCCATTGTTCTAGAAGAATTCCCAATACTTCCAGAATAGTAAGAGGGAGAATAACTTCATGGACAAGAACATAAGGGCACAGTCCCTTCATCTGGGCCTGAATTCTGGCTTTGCTATTTCTTGTCTGGGGCAAGTTCTTCACCCTCTGCATCTCATTTTCATCATCTGGAAAACAGGGCTATTGGTGGTTGTAAATGATACTGGGCTGTTTCTATTACTGAACATTAAATACCAAAAGACATAACCAAGACCGAGTCTTAGGATTCAGTAAATATTAGATAAAATTATCATCATCATTATCCAGCCACAAATCAGTAGTTGTTATTCCATGCTCTTTGTTCTGAACTCCTGGAAGTGCAATATCATAAACCTCAATATCCAACTCAAAAGGGTACCCCAACTAGGAAGTTCTCCCGCCTGCCCCAGGAAGTGAGCTGTTCCTTCCCTTTGTGCTTGGTAGTTTTACTAAATCTGCTTTTGTAGGGGTAGCTTTGTGCTGAGTACATGTGTGACTCCTGTGACTCAAGTCTGACCTCCGAAGGATCAGGGCTGTATCTTATTAATGTGTATACTTCTTCCCCTATCCCCTTGCTCAGCCCCTGACTGATCACTAACGTGTATACTTCTTCCCCTATCCCCTTGCTCAGCCCCTGACGGAATCAGCACACACTACAGCTTTGCTGAAGGAACAGATCTTTGTCTCTCACTTCATGGGATCTAATGGACTCTGCAGCATGGTACTTGCTCCAGAACCTCAGATCATGTCTTCACGTCTTTGTGTCCTGGAAGTACCTAGGGGAATGCCCGCACACGGGTTGCCCTGCTTGGCCAGGGCCATGGTGGCAAATTCCAGTCCTTCCCTTCAGAGCACTGTCTATGAGATTCCTAAAGGCCTAGGCCACATGGGGAAATGGGAACTTTGGTATTCTACTATTTATCTGGAGACATTTGATCATCAATGCTTTATAGCTTCTGCTTTTGAAATCGCATTGATCCTGAATCCCTCTAGACCCTAAGTCAAGCAAAAGGCAACAGCTTCTTCCTAGCTTCTTAGAAAGTGTTGACATTTGTGACACGACTGTAAATTTTTACTTTCAGGTGACTTCATTATTTACACTCTTAATGTCACTCTCTGTCACGGACTTAAAACATTTTCTTTCATTTTCAGCAGAAGTGTCTTTGACCTGCACAAGAGGAGAGGGACTAGGAGTTAAATAGCCACAACAACGTTTCAGTGAGTCTAGTACTTCTCATTCCAACACAGGTTTACACATTGGATGGTGATGATTTTCCAGGACATTGAAAACCTTCTAGCAAAAACTAGAAGTTTAAAAGAAAATGATATTTAAATAAAAAAAAGCTTAAATAACATTTCCTCTATGTAAAGTCTGGCTGGCAAATAAGGTCATATAAGAGAAAAAAAGTATACTAATATTAGTAATTTTGTTTTGAACTGGTTAATCTTTAAAGAAATAGTGTTTTGCATGAAAAATGCTATAGATGAGTATCTGCTGATGTTAAATGCAGCAAATACAGTCAAAAAGTAGAATTTTTTTTTTTTTTTTTTTTGACAGGCAGAGTGGACAGTGAGAGAGAGAGACAGAGAGAAAGGTCTTCCTTTTGCCGTTGGTTCACCCTCCAATGGCTGCCGTGGCTGGCGCGCTGCAGCCGGCGCACCGCGCTGATCCGATGGCAGGAGCCAGGAGCCAGGTGCTTTTCCTGGTCTCCCATGGGGTGCAGGGCCCAAGCACCTGGGCCATCCTCCACTGCACTCCCTGGCCACAGCAGAGAGCTGGCCTGGAAGAGGGGCAACCGGGACAGAATCCGGCGCCCCGACCGGGACTAGAACCCGGTGTGCCGGCACCGCTAGGCGGAGGATTAGCCTAGTGAGCCGCGGCGCCGGCCAAAAGTAGAATTTTAATTTACAAAAAATAGAGTATACATGCTACGTATGTATGAGCTGAATGAGCACAGACTAAAAGACTTCCTGGTTACACAAACATGAGTCTTGTAACCATTTACCACCTGTTTATCTGTATTCCTCTACAATGAAGTGGTACTGCTTACCTAAACAATTAAAGAGTTATTCTAAATATAAAAGACTGTGCTTTTCATTATAAAACTGGAAATGACTCTTAAAAACTGAGTGTTGTTATTCAAGTTTACTTACCAGGAGACTCTCTCCCGCCACTCCTCTGTTGTTAAAAACCACACATCTAAAAACCAGGAAAGTAATTTTTGTTATTTCTACACATGATTATTGCTTATAATATACTATTAGAGTCATCTTACTGACGCTGGCTTAGAGTATTAAAAGATTTGGACAATCTGTTCTATAGATACGTTTGACAATTCCATCTAAATGTACTAAAATACTATTCTAGTCCTTTAAATTCAACATGTGAGTTCAAATTAGGCAATTGCATATTTAGATACTGTTAATTTTTTCTACCAATCAAGAATTCTTAGAACTCCTTTTGCATGTAGGTGGGCCTCTAATAAATGCTAGTAAAACATTTTAAATCAAGTAAAATTCAAATATTTTACTCCAAATAAAGAAAAAATGATGTCTTCTACCCATTATATTTGAAACATTAATCAATATCTACTTATGCCCTAAGAAATAGCTCTTGTTCCTTCAAAGCTCAGCAAACAAAGACTGGAATTTTACATGAGGTGGAAATGGTACAGGTAGAGCTACAAGGACCCAGGCACCTCAGCTGGTAGGATGGGACAAACCCCCCCCCCCCCCCCCCATTTTACTGAATGGAGTTCAGTTGACTTCAGGAAGAAAGACGAACCTTGTGTTTTCTAGGATCCTGTTTGCATCACCTTGGTAAAGCCTTACTATATTGCACTGTTGGCTCAGTGCAAGCACAAGATAAAGTCAGCTATTAGTAGTAGCTATCAGAGTGCCATGGTATCTTCAAAAAGTCATTCTGCTTTTCAAACATATTTAACTCTCAATTAACTTTCAGTCAAACATAACCCTGGATGTACATTTTTTGTAATCCTCAGACAAAATCTTGACTTGCATCTACACAGCCTCTGATTTAATGAATCTATACTGATGTAAATTAAAACTCATTTTGTCTGTTTACTTATCCAATCAATCAAGGCTATTTAAGATGCAATTTCTCTTCTTTCAGGGTGTTCCTGACCATTGTACAGGCTCTAGGCACTAATGAATTCTACTTTGCAAAGCACACTCAATTCTGACTCTCCTCTTAGGGAAATTAGATTTTTTAAAAGGATTTATTTATTGAGGGCTGGTGCTATGGCTGCAAGAGTCAGGAACCAGGAGCTTCTTCAGGGTCTCTCACAGCACTTGGGCTGTCCTCCGCTGCCTTCCCAGGGGCACTAGCAGGGAGCTGGATTGGAAGCAGAGCAGCCAGGACTCACCCCGGCAGCCATATGGGATGCCAGCAATGTAGGTCGTGGCTTTATTCACTATACCACAGTGCTGGCCCTTAGATTTTTGTTTTTATAAAGATTTATTTATTTAAAAGGCAGTTATGGAGCAGGGCAGGGGAAAGGAAGAGAGAGAGAGAGAGAGAGAGAGAGAGAGAGAGAGAATGAGAATCTTCCACCGCTAGTTCATTACATGTCCCTAAATGGCTGCAATAGACAAGGCTGGGGCCAAGTAGAAGCCAGGAGCCAGGAACTCCATCTGGGTCTTCCCATGTGGGTGGCAGGGGCTCAAGTATTTGGGCCATACTCTACTATCTTCTATTTGCATTAACAGGGAACTGGATTGGAAGCAGAGTAGCTGGGACTTGAATCAGGCACTCTGAAAATGGGATATAGCTTTAACCCACTGCACCTTGACAATATAAACCCTGAGGTTTAATTTTAAGGCACACCATTTTTTTTTTTTTGACAGGCAGAGTGGACAGTGAGAGAGAGAGAGAGAGAAAGATCTTCCTTTGCTGTTGGTTCACCCTCCAATGGCCGCCGTGGCTGGCGCGCTGCAGCCGGCGCACCGCACTGATCCGAAGGCAGGAGCCAAGTGCTTCTCCTGGTCTCCCATGGGGTGCAGGGCCCAAGTACTTGGGCCATCCTCCACTGCACTCCCAGGCCACAGCAGAGAGCTGGCCTGGAAGAGGGGCAACGGGGACAGATTCCGGTACCCCGACCGGGACTAGAACCCGGTGTGCCGGCGCAGCAAGGCGGAGGATTAGCCTATTGAGCCACGGCGCCGGCCAAGGCACACCATTTATTAAACGTGGTATTCAGGGTAATTTTTTTTATTTGAAAGGTAGGGAGACAGAGACATAGAGAGATCTTCCCATCTGCTGATTTACTCCCCAATTCCACAACAATTGGGGCTGGACCAGGCTGAAGCCAGGAGCCTAGGACTTAATTTGGGTCTCCTAAACAGGTGTCAGGCCCCCAAGAACTTGAGCCATCATCTGATGCCTCTCAGTACATATTAACACAAAGATGGAATCGGATGTAAAGCTGGGACTTGAACTTTAGGCACTCTGATATGGGATGCAGGCATCCCAAGGGTCATCTTAACCTCTATGCTGTGCCAAACCCTGCCCTTCAGAGTATGTTTCTACATAGAGAATTCTATTTGGCCCAACTGAAAGAAGAAAAGTATTTTTAAAAAATATTTATTTATTTATTTATTTGAAAGTCAGAGTTACAAAGAGAGAGAGAGAGAGAGAGAGAGAGAGACGTCTTCCATCCTATGGTTCACTCCCCAATTGGCCGTGATGGCCGGAACTGCGCCCATCTGAAGCCAGGAGCCAGGAGCTTCTTCGGGTCTCCCATGCAGGTGCAGGGGCCCAAGGAGTTGGGCCATCTTCTATTGCTATTCCAGGTCACAGCAGAGAGCTGGATCAGAACAGGGGCAGCCAAGACTAGAACCAGCGCCCATATGGGATGCTGGCACTGCAGGCCAGGGCATTAACCTGCTGCGCCACAGCGCCAGCCCTGAAAAAAAGTATTTTTTAAAAAGATCCCAGAAATCCAAAATGAGAAAAAGCTTGAAATATGACATTTTATTGACTTACCTATGAGAGATGTTAAATATACTCTAAGTACATGCAGAAAAGTTAGAGTTTGCCATTACTATTTCACATTTTCTTGCTAAAAAAGAAGGGCAAGGGGGCTGGCCCTGGGATACAGTGGGTTAAAGCCCTGGCCTAAAGCACCGGCATTTCATATGGGTGCTGGTTCTAGTCTCGGCTGCTCCTCTTCCAATCCAGCTCTCTGCTATGGCCTGGAAAAGCACTGGAAGATGGCCCAAGTGCTTGGGCCGCTGCATCCATGTGGGAGACCCAGAAGAAGCTCCTGGTTCCTGACTTTGGATTGGCTCAGCTCTGGCCATTATGGCCATTTGGGAAGCGAACCAGCTGATGAAAGATCTGTGTGTCTCTACCTCTCTCTGTAACTCTGTCTTTCAAACAAATAAAAATAAATCTTACAAAGAAGTATGTTATTGCAAAAAATTGAAAAAATAAAAAGAATGGCAAGATAGACTAGATATGAATCAAATTCAGGTTGGCCACTCATATTACTTGCATAATCACTTAAGTCCCATAGGGATGGGTGCTGAAGGCAACTGTGGCCTTGAACCTTGAAGCTCCTAGTCTTCCAGAGAACTAAAATATTAAATAAGACTTAAAATAGCTTCTGGAGCCAAGATGTCCCCATGTGACTGCCATTGAGAGAAGGCAACAGGGTTAGTGAGGGGAAAGGAAAAGACAATCTCAACGAACTCATGACACAGCAGCCTGCACACCTGGGCCCTCCTTCCAAACTGCAGACTGGGATATCTGCACTTTCTTACAGCTACCTTTGGAAAGTGGATCACGGCTCTGGTGTCTCTTGCTAGAGGAGGAATTGAGCTGACCTCTTCCCAAGTGTTGGTTCCCAGCAATGTTCAATCAGCAGCAGTCATTGCTGTCTACTTGGATATGGGGCAGAAAGACAGGAAGAATGAAGACTGTCTTTCTGTCCCCTTCTCCTCCCCCATCAGCTGTGATAAGCAACTAACTTCTCATGTTTAATCCCTTTTCTACCCTAGTAATCATCAGAGAACACCTGACACACGATTCAAAAAGAGCTGGTTTAGAAACCACTATTCCCAAGGCATGGGTGAGTCTCTGTTCATTTCTGTGACAGCTCTCGCCAAACAGCCTTTACAGCTTATCCCAAACAATGTTCAAGCATGTGACTTAAAAGAACTAACCTGCAAAAACAGTTTATTTAAATTTTTGTCTTTCTCATTTTAAAGATTTTTATTTATTTTCATTTGAAAGAGGGATTTGTGTGTGTGTGTGGAGAGAAAGAGAGAGAGAGAGAGAGAGAGAGAGAGAGAAATCCTTTACCCACTAGTTCACTCCTCAAATATTTGCAACAGCCAGGGCTGGTTGAGGAAGAAACTAGGAACCCAGAACTCAATTCAAGTCTCCCATGTAGGTGGCAGGGACCTAAATTCTTGAGGCATCACCTGCTGCCTCCTGGGTGCCCAGGAGTAGGAAGATGGAATCTGAGTGGAGCTGGAACTCCAATCCAGGCACTCCAACATAGGATGCAGCTGTCCCAAGCTGTGTCTTCACTGCTGCACCAAATACCTACCCCTTAATTTTCCCCCCAAAACTAGGGGAATACAAATAAAGAAAAGAAATAGCAAATAAAGAATAAATCTGGCGTGAAGAGCTTCCTGTAAGGACAGAACTTGCTAACCAGGGCAAGCAGGCGAGGCTCCTTTAATAAAGGTTAAAGGAAAGTCAGAGAGCTCATGGCAGCACAGTTTCTCAATCGTTATCCCTGTGGGCACTGCAGACACAATACTTCTTTGGATGCCAGCAGAACCTGCCCCAGGTATGACAATCAAGAATGCATCCAGGTGTTGCCAAATGTTTGCTGGGGGCGAAAATGCTCTTTGAATGAGAGGTGCTGTTACTGTGAGATGGACCAGAGAGCCTTGAATTTGCTCGAGCCCAGGGGCTGGCCAGAGCACATGTTGTGACCTCTCCTTCTCCCTGAAAGGGGCAGACTCAGCTTCGTCGCTCAAGCAAACCAGCGAGGAGCACGTGGAAATAGAATATATCACTAGGACTGCTTTCCAAATCAGTAAGATAAGGGGATTTTATCAGACAACTTAAATATTTTTGGGATTTCCTAAGTCTTTGAATCTAAGAATATAAATAATAACCATCAAGGGGTAGAATTAGAGGAATATTCAGGGATCACTAGTCAT